ACCGAGGTAAGATTTTAAAGTTGTTTCAGAACGTGAAAAAAAAATTACACGCGCAGACATGATGACTCCATTTGTGCTATGCTCCTCTTCTCTCGTTCTGCTTGTGTGAGTGTTTTTGGACATTGTTATTGTTTTTGGTTTTGTTTTAAAGTTTATTATAAATTCCGATTTATAGCTTGGAAACTGTTTATGTGTTTTTTGAATGTTGACATTGAGAAGATGATTGAACGAAACTGACCGATGAGAGAGAGTCGAATATTTATTTTTGTAATGCGACAAAAATACAGACATAAATATAAGACGTAATTCGCACTACCGGCTGGACTACATTTGAGTTCGTTGACTTGTAACTTTAAAAACAGAGAATCACATATTCGCTTTCGACTTTTTTCCCAAAAAATGTGATTCGTATTTAATTTTATGCAGAGAGATTATATTACGCAGAAGCTGTCTGTTTTTTTTTTGCTACATGATTCCATTCTTTTAAGAAATCTTGTACTCAAGTGGAATTTCCAATTGGACAAATAGACTAATTCGCAAAGAACAAATTTCTATTTACAATATAGGAAATGGACATCGAACATAGGACAACGATGTGATTGACGAAACGACCTGATGCAATTCTACAAAGTATAACGAAATTCCTATTCACACGCATACGTTTATTAGCCTATATATTGACGTATTAGCTGTCATTAGAGCGTGCAAGTACGTAGAATGCCATAACCAAAATATAAAATCGTTCTGTAATCGATTGTTTTGTATTTACTTGATTTCTTTTCAGTTTTTTCCCCTTTTTATACAGGGTCCTTTGGAGAGAATGGTTAAATCGCGAGAAATATGCAATACATTCGGTTGGTGATGCTATGTCATTCATCGTTAGGTGAATATTTCATTTTATTTCCTTTCATATTTATGTTTGCTTCTCATTCCATTTTATTCATTGCATTTTTATGTTTTAGTGTGCCGTGTTACGAGTCGTGATACCTCTTCCACCAGTTGAAACATTGATCTTCTTCATGTATTAAAATGTCGTAAGTGTACATTGTACTACATCACTGTACAAGAAAATAATGTAATTTAATTTTTCCACCGAAAATTCCAATCACAATAATATTTATTTCATCTTTTGAAACAGATCTGAGGGAAATGCAACGGATTTTGAGAACGCATCGAATTCTGCCGATGCATCCAATGAAACTCAGACCTGCGTCTGATCAGAATGAACTGAGACAACATCTACCGATGGTGCGAAGCATGCAAACAACGACTAGCCGTCTTTCTTGCTGCTCAAATTATATTTAAAAATGCGTTTAGTTAAAGTTAAATTCATGCGGTTTTTTAATGTGTCCGCCTTTTTCTGTTATATTCACTATTGCCATCAACCAATGAACAAATGCGAGAAATGTAATCTTATCAGATGCATGATATATTTACACAACATTCGTTGAATACTACACAGTACACCCATATGTATTAGTTCGACATTCGCTCGATTTGTGAAAACGCGTACAATGTACGGCGTACGCACTTATTCTGAATGCTAATTATAGAACAGTTGTTCGGGACAACCGACTGTTGTATGCACAACACAACCACACGGATTACACAATAAGCGATTTGAACACGTCGTGCCTATGAGTGTATTTGATCGGGTTTTCATTCGTTCAATTTTATCTACACGATCAAATAACACGCAATACTCCCACTATGTCACAGATTACAAATGAATGAAGAAAATGAAGTGGGTAATACACACATGTTTCGTAGCCACACACTTCAACTTGCTGACAATGGCTTACAGTGTTGCTTGCATCATTTAGACATATCATTTTTCGTATGTGCTCAGCATAGGCGTGACGATGAGTTGTTTGCATCAATTCGGTTTCAAGAAGATAGTCAGTGATTAGAAAATGTTGTTAGATTTAAAAATCGGATCAATAAACCACAATGTAGTATCCGACATACTTTGAATATTTTCGTAAAGATCTCAAAAATGTCATAAAAAACAATTTGAGTTCTACTGCACCGTCTTTGGGAAAGTAAAAAAAGCGTACAAATTGATTGCTTCACCTTAGTTTGCTTCACTTCCAAATTGCCATATAAACTGCTATTTGATTCGCTTGTTCGCTATAGCCTGCTTGGCTCATTTTACTCTGTTACGATCGCACGTGAACAGAACGCGTCATATTACGTTTCATTTTCTCCCCGCTGCTATGCTGTAACACATTCTTTCATTTTTTGTGTGTGCTTAAATTTGGGTTTTGTCCCGACCCTTGGAAATTGAAGCACGGATAACAAGACCGAAGAAGAGTCACAAAAACAACAATGGGAACGACCCATATTGGTGAAATTAAAGATGGAATTAGTAAACATGATCAAGCTCATACCTGTACGTGTGCGGTAAACCAAGAAACATCCGTTTAGCACCTTTTTTTACTTCTTCTTCTCTCTTATTCTTCTTTATGGTTTGTGCTTCTTCCACATTCGTATTGTTGTTACGCTACTTAATCAACAGAACATTGAGTGTGATCAGTTCATTTGACTCAAATGCAGCTATTAATTAGCATTTTATTGGACATAATGTTGAGTGGGGTCAGTGCATCGATTTGATGTGCGATATTTTGAATAAATTGCGTGACGAAGCACAAATCGAATTATACAATTCGCATATGTATATAAAGTGCTAATTTGCCGTACAAATTCGGCAAAAATAAGACGATAAAAAGACCGCAGTGTTTTACTTTCCCATATAATTTGTCGGTTTAGTTGCAGCAGAGAATGCTTGCGGTCAGTATTGAAATGGTTGCGATAAAAGACGATACTTTTCAATTGGTTGCAACAAAAAAGTGGACTGTTTATTGCATAGAGAGAGGGGGAGAGAGAAAAAAAAGAATGCAACCACCGTAATGAATTTCGGCCAACCGCGAACCACTAAAATTCGTTTCGTTTAAAAGCTAAAAATACTACCTGCTGATTTGGGCAAAAATTACTTGAAGTTTGTAAAAAGATTAGCCAATTAGTTTAGTTTTTCTACTGTTTGAACTTACCTAGCACATTTCACCTTTTTCGTACTAGAAGGAATGAACAGAAATCAAAAACTAGTAAAAACCCACCTACCTGAGGCAAAATATGAATGATTTGAATTTCTAAGAAAATAATAGGTAAACAAGAGATACACCATTGGTTTAACATGTTGAATTTTAATTTAAATAAATACATTTTGTAAATAGATAATTTTGGAAAAATGTTCTAATCTAATTTCGCAATCGTTGTTCATCTAATGCGCAACTAATTATATTCAGATCGCGCTATTTTTTCATATAATATACGAGTTTTAAAGTAAATCGATCATCGTCTTACTTCTCAGTCGTACGCTCGGTAATTATAAAACGGATGATCGATTTGCAGTGATTCAAATCGTTTAAAATTGATCACTTCTTTACGATCAATATTCAAGGCCCATGGCAGTGTAAGTAAAACCGTTTCTTTGATGAAAACGTCCAATTTTCTTGCGTTGTGATGCGATTTCCTCTTCTTGATTAAATTGAGAATTTTCAGCGGTATCACATTGTCGCTGACATTTGTGAGAGCAATACGCTTCATATTTGGTGATTGGGTTGCAAAAGGTATGATTACATCGATGGAATCCTTTTCGATGTACAACTCCTCCAATTTAGTTAGGCTTTTCGCGATCATTCCGGCTTTATCTCCCAATGAAACGATGTATAATATCTTGAGGTTTTGCAACGATGCAATCGATGAAATAATGTTTATGCGACCATAGCTGCAATGAATCAGAAAGATCCGCTCCAATGCTTTTATCGACGATAGCCTGTTCATACTGTGATTTAAAATAGATTTACTTCCGGATGGTACCAAGTGGAATCGCTTGATTCTCTTCTGATCGTATAGTGTTTTCACGAGATCGCACACATCTCCAATATTTCTGCTGGAGTACTTTTTGTTGTAGAGCTTTGTATTTAGAGTCAATTCGTCCAGTTTGATATCCGAATCTAAGATGAATTTGAGTGCATTCCGAGCATTCCTGGCCACGGTGAAATTTTTAACATTCGGATTATTGTCGAAAAAAGCCTTGAGCTCTTTTGTCTGCCTCTTATTTGACGCCATCGTCCCACTGAATACTCTCCAATGTTGGGTACTTCTGGTAAAACCAATTACTTCTCAGATTGTACTCTCGATCCTGTTTGATACACTGCGATCGAATTCGCAACAACTTCATGTTTTCACAGTGCTTTAAAATTTGGTTGAAAAAATCACCGCTCGAACGAGACACCCAGAACTCGACGATTTCAACATTTTTCAACGTTTTCTTTAAACATTCGCCATAGCCTATCGCTGGCCAGGTGAGTAATAAGTATGTGAACCGGATTTTCTTCGGCGATATATTCAAGTGGCGAGCAACATACTGGAATAGCCCAATATCACCGCCAATAATGTTCACATCTTGAATGTATTCAGCGAAGCAACAAACATATCGCTCTTTTGGTTGGACGTCGATTTCTCCACGTGTCATTCGCACGGATATTCGCTTCGACTTATATTCTCGTGCAAAATAATCACCAGTTGCATTTTTCATGCCAGCTCCATTTAAGGAACATAGATCGTTGAGCGGCAGGTGGCAAAATATCGCATCTAAAACATTTTGCGGGAGATTTTGCAGTTCAATCGTTGATCTTTCAACATTATAATTTACATCGCGTCTTTTTTTAGGTGTAATTTCTTTATCGTTGTTTGTGAATGGCCTTTTCATTGTGATAAGTTAGTAGTAAGTCCCTATATTTTTAGGAGAAAAACCAAAGGGTTAGACACAAATTCATACTCAACAAACACTCGGCGATACTAGAATCTACTCGGTGCTACTCAGTGCCATTTGGTTCAGTTTAATGTGTAGTATACACAGAGAACTGTCAAAGTCAACTGAGTGTTTTGAGTGGTTTCGAGTTTACATTTAAAATGCATGGATGTACTCGGAACTACTCGGTGCAAAATGGGACAAATTCGTCAAAACTTGTACGGTCGAAAACTGTGTCTACCCCCTTGAGAAAAACGTTATATTAAATATATGAGTAGTTTGGAGCGAAAATGTTATACAGAAAAGTTG